TTCGTTATCAATCCAATAATCCCTTTATCTCGTTATTTATTTACCCTTCAATGTTAAAAAAAAATTATTCTCCATTCTCAGCGCCTTAAACAATTCTCCTGGACATTAATAAACTATTTATTTAATTGTGGATCCAATGGATCGTTAACGTCGATCCCAGGAGATTTTTTTTTTGCGCAATTTTTTTGCGCAATTGTTAAATGCTGTTTACTCGTTTTTGATTGTTAGTCGGTGATGGAAAAATTGAATCAGATGAAAGTAAAAAAAAAAGGAGGGAATAAAAAATATTGCGCACTCCAGCTGAATGCAGGATTGAATCAACACAGGCATAAAGCTTGCTCAGCGCATGCCGCGACATAAGAGAAGTCAAGAACCTCTTCTTGAGGCGCGTCTTGGTCGCATCTCTGGTTGAACGAACTGTGGACCGCGGCTCCTTGGGTTCGACGTAAAACACGCGGCTAGTCCGGACAACGGTAAAAGTCAAATGGAGTTTGTCGACAAGGGGAAGAGGGACTTCAAATCGATGTAACACTGCCACCTAGCGGTAAAGAGCCCCCTCCAGGAGGTTGAATACTTTGGAGGTCTTCCCTCAAGGTTTCTGCACTGAATCATTGGGCATCACGGTTTTTCCCCTTCTTTCGTGTAAAACCTATGGAAATTTCTCCGACACCAGCGAAATTCCTCGGCTCGTCCTCAGGATTCTCTAATCATTCAGAAAAAAAATTAATGATCAAATTCACTCGGCACGAATAAATGGACTGAATTTATTTGAAAAAAAAGGAGAAAACGTGGGAATAATCATCACGATTTGGTGGAATCATTGAAAATTCTTCCGTCAATTCCAGGAAAGATTTCCACCGAAGAACTAATGTACAAATGGTTAATCGATCTTAGTCATGCCTTAGAAGGTCAACTGTACAGAGGTCAGGAAGATCATCCGTGAGGTGTCATGTGTCAGGGTGATTCGTGGGTTTGCTGTGGTCTCTCCGGGAATAAGGCCCTCTTGGGCCCCTTGTTGGCACGCTATATGTATGTTGGATGTATGCTGTATGTACTTTAGAGATCCTCCATTGGTGATCAAAGGGACCAAGTAATGTGTGCCGCCTGCGGCGATCAACGGTACATTCACATAACGCGGCATAACGTACAACGTAACGTATGTACAAAATATCTCAAACGAGATGTATACCCAGCCTTTTTCGGCGATCCTCCGCATGATTTAAGGATGTTCAATTATATTTTTAAATGAGCTTCTCAAATCCCCGGGGTTTTTAAATTGAAGACTATTTCGGGGCATGTTTGAGGCCCGTAATTTCACAGGGGAAAATTTTCACGGTCATTATTCTTGGGTGAAAAATATGTGAAAAAATGAATATGAAATTTGGGAATTTTTCATATTTTTATTATGTTAATTGGGATGAAAATATATTTTTTTTAATTGATGTAGTCGAGGGTGAATTTATTTCATCGGTTTATTTTTCTGTAAATTTAGGAAGTGAAATAAAATAAATTGTTATTGTTGTTATTTTAAGAAATATACAGGAATATGTGGAGTAATAGAATTAATTAACAAAATGGAGAGTTCACGTATGTTAAACTGGATTTTTTAATGGGATTGGAATATTAAATAAAAATTAACAATTACGTGAAATTTCTGATATTAATATTTTGTTGGGGCTTTCCGAGGATATTGACTATTTTTATTGAAAATCTGGAGGCAAATAATTTCGAACGGTTGAACAGTTGATAATTTTTAATGAGCGCACGTGGTCGGGTAAGATATTTAATGACGGGGGAAATTTGGCTGGATAATTAATCATAAATGAAGAAGATTGATTCGCTGATACCGGACACTGAGGTATGTTAAAACATATAAGTTTGATGAAGCGTGGCGCGTAGCGGTACCGTAAATTTGAGAGGCACTTCGATTGGCCAAGTTATACTGTTACTCGGCTGTCCAACCACCTATACTCAATTGAAAAGATGATTATGCCGATGACGTACACGAGCATCAGGTGCACAAATTCTACCGCATAATTACCTCGCCATCATAGTCATGACAATTTCCCACGGGAGCGATGAAAAAAAATTGTTGAATTCACCCCAACGCTCAAAGCGACTTCCAAAAAATTACTAAAGTAATTAAAAAATTGTAATAACTCCCCATTTCCGGTAAAAGTTCATTTTTTTTCGCTCATGCTTCACGAAATTATTGGAACCATCAAAACCAAAAAATTTTATAATTTTTGAATAATTTTATATAATAATTTAACCGAAGGATTTTATAATTACTTGGGGATTAATTAAGGAAATTGTTTGAGGGCTCGTTGGGAAATAATTTGAGGATAAAATAGATGTTTTGGACAGAGTGTTTATAAATTGGATAAGCCTGTGGAGGTGGTCGATATTTTAGACGTTTTTGTTGTATATTTTTCCTTGGGGGAGTTTAACGATGAAATACAAGTTTCTGATGGAGATAAGACTGGGACTTTCTCGCTGTGTTTTTTACGCCGTCTTTCTTTCAAATTATCTTCATCGATTGCATGCATAAGAAATACGGCTTGGGCCTGCAGTATTAATGCGGCACTTTTATTGCAGATGCATGCAGCGCGTGACAAATCGTTTCGCTGGGTGGTACCATCTGTTTCGCGGTTTTGAATTTAACTGGGAAATAGCGAAACTAGAAGAGCATTACCTACTGCCGGCATCAAAAATTTCAATAAATAGGAGAATTTGGATATTATTTTTGTAATTCTTCGCTTTGTACTTTTGGATCTCTCGGTGGTGGAATCAATTTGAGATCGAAAGAAAATTCGATTGAGTGGAATTTAATTTTTAATTTTCAATTTTTTACCGACTGTCGGTCTTTTCTGCGGTTGATCTATTTTTTATTCCTACGGGATCTCAAATTGTTTGAGATTGAGGCACAATGTCGTTTTCCATTTTTTTAATATTCAAAATTTTGTCGAATTTTCAAAATTGTCCCACTCCCCCCGCCCCTAAAATTCGTTCAATAATTTGCAACCCGAATTATTATAATTCTGAATTATTGACATTTTTGCAATTTACGAAAAGTTTTAAATTCCCCAAAAATCTTTTATTAAAAACCCCCAAATTTTCACAAAAAAAAAAACATCAATAATATCTATGAATAATCATGAAAATAAAATAATAATTAGAAATGATAAAAATCCCAGAACCACCTGCACCCTCGATTTATGATAACAATTCTTGCGTACACAAGCTCTTATCATAATTAAAAGAATCCCTGCTGAGCCCGTCCGATTTCGTCACCCCACGTAGAACAACCCCTAGATTTGGAGAACACCCTGAATGAGTACCTAATATTAGAAACAATAAAACAACAGACAAACTGATTTGTCCCCGATTGAATCGACATCTCCATTATCGTCGACTAAATCACAGCATTCGCAAGATGAGAGAAAAGCACACAACGAAAGACAAATCCCCTGATTCCCAGAGGATCGTAAAATGTCTTCAGGATGCTCCTCGAGGACGACGCCTGCGCGATTTTATCTCTACGGTTTCCTATATAAATGCCGCCACTTGTTGAGCAAAGTCCATACCTCTACAACACCGTGGGTATCATTCCTTCAACACCGTCCACCATTCAGACAGTCCATCCAAGTTCATCATCTCAAGAAGAAGTGCATTCCAAAAAAGTGAGTAAAATCTCCTCCAATAACTCCATCCCCCGCAATCCTCCCAAGACATAAAAAATAATTACTGCCACCGAAGTCGCATAATTCTATAGTAATCATGATAAATTCATAATTCAAATTAAAAGCTCTCATACGGTTGGGTAAAATTGATGGGCTTTATTCCGTCAGACGCCCGCGCTTTTTTCTACTTGAAAACGAATTTGCAACAAGTGGAAAATTTTCTCGTTCGAATGGTGAAAAGCCAAGGGGAAATGAGAAAAGTCGGAAGCGGACGTGCAGGACGGCCGAGCTTTTAATAATATCGACTGTCTTTCCGAAGAACCATCATCATTTTTTTTTTTTTTTATAATCCGAGAGACAGACTTGAATGTCAGGCCATTTCAATCGTCATTTTTTACGATAATTCCGCGGGGTTTCGCGCGCAAGATTGAGGTGAAATTTATTTGAGGGGTAATTAAGGATTTCACGTGGGGAATAGTGGAGTTGCGTGTTGGGGGAATTCGATTAAGGGACTGGACTCGGGATTTTGTAACTTTACGGAATTTCGGTGGGTTAGACATCCCCTGGTGTTCGGAGTTTGTGATCCCGTGTCATACGAATCCGCTGACAACACTACATAATTTATTAAAATTCCTCTTATATTTAATTGCACGACTAAATCGCGAATTTCTGGGAAATAATTTTCCAACTGAATTACCTGAGAATTTTCCCGAGTATTTATCACGGATTTATTTTTGAAAATCGGTAATAGAACTTGCGGGAAAATTTCTTCATTCTCTCATATTCAATTCTCTCATCAAGATATCCATTAAAAAATTATCGCACAACCACTCGTTTGCGAAATAATTTAAAAAAAACGTAATAATTTCGTTGAAAATGAAAATGACATCCGGATAAATTGGAAACCCCGAATAAAACGAATCCCTGAATAAGCGCGTGATAACGTAACCCTCACTTGTACGTCTTCCTGGGAAATATTGCCACCGGTAATTCGTTGGGACACGTCATTATCAATGACGTGAATTTTCCGGGCGTTCGTCATTTCCCCGAAGCCCATTAGATTTCCCACATAAGGCGCGCAATCTCGATGATAACCCGGGCGATAAATCTCAAATTGTCGAGAGTTGTAACCGATGACCGGAAGGGACCAGTGGAAAAATTAAGTTCTAGGCCTCGTGACATTAGCCTAATGGGCTCTGAAGAACAATAACGGATCAATGTATGAAACCGTAGAAAATCATCGGCCCATGAAGCGTCGGCCCACGTCGATTCCTCCCCTCATCACCTTTTGCCACAACTCTCATTCGCACATTCGCCCTCGTGACGATCACCTCAGAGGTACACTCACAAATTTACCCGATTTATCACTGAAACGCGGATAAAACCGCGACTATTTTTGACACATGCGTGTAAAAAGGTGCGACAGAAATTTTGAAATTTGGGTACTGTGAGATCAATTGGAAAAAGTCCGTTGTTCTCATCGCAGCGGCTCGAAAAATTCTATCTCCACTATTATCCAAATCGATTTTCTCAATCGAACTGAACGATTGTTCCAGATAAAATGAACCTCGAGGAATATCGCAGACACGGTAAGTCTATCTATTATCGTTATCTATTTATTTATATATTCATTTATTTCAATTATACATTATTTATCCCCCGATCTACCCACATTTTTCATTCCTGTGTGAATCATTTATCGTACAACCCTGAGACCCGCTAGATTGTTCGAGGAAAGTCTAACGTTTTGTCGTGGAAATAGAGAAAAATATAAAAAGTGTAGGAGAATTTTTCTCTATTCACGTCAAGGAATTCCAGACGTAGGCGATTTCCCTTAATCCCTTAATACTAAAAAATCCCATTGAATTTGGGGATTTATTTGATTTTATCGCTTCATTTCTACGCAATTGGATGAAACGACTGGAGAAAAGTGAGTCAATAAAGGAACGAGGGGGACCAACGACAGTTACCAATTTTATGACAATAGATATCGCTCCTGATTTGCATATCATTTGGATTTCCGTGACAATTTTCCCATTCGATTCAATTTGAAAACAGATGTGATTCAATAAATATTTGACTATTTACCCCCCAAAAAATCCAGTATTTCAATTTATCCCATTTCATCCCTCAATCTCTCTCGACTCCACAATAATAAATAAAGTCGTGTATTCAATGACATCCCCCAGATAAACAATTCAATAGAATTTCACCCACTATCCAAACCTTTTCTCAAATGACCGAAATTTATTGGACTCCAATATCACTCTGGAAATAGTCTTCAGCTTCTGAACCAGTGGCCATTGTCTCCGGGTTGTTTCAGGAGTTCAATTGTATTTCTTTCAATTCGCGGAGTGATTAATTCTTTTATTGTCAATTGTTTGAAAAAGGCAAGGAAATGGTGGATTATATTGCGGACTACCTCGAGACAATCAGATCGAGACGAGTGTATCCAGCTGTGTCACCTGGATATCTCAGGAACATTCTGCCAGTGTCGGCACCGGTGGATGGTGAACCGTGGGAGAATATTTTTGAGGACATTGAGAGATGCATTATGCCAGGTGTCACACATTGGCAGAGTCCCCACATGCACGCGTATTTTCCAGCTCTCAATTCACCAGCGAGTCTCATTGCTGACATGCTTGCTGATGCTATCAATTGTCTGGGGTTTACCTGGGTAATTCACTAAATATTCCTTTCACCCTCCACTAATTTATCTGCCTAATTACCCCGCAAAAAATGCCCTTAACATTAAATAAAAATTGAATTATTAATAATTATTCGTTGATGCATCATGAATTTTTTCTGTTCTCCATTTCCAGTGGAATGGAAATTTTATTGTACATGATATTTAATGAAAAAAAAATAAATTCTCGAAATGAAATAATTGGAAATGAATTCAGGCTTCGAGTCCAGCCTGTACAGAGCTGGAGACAATCGTGATGAATTGGCTCGGTAAAATGATCGGTTTGCCTGATGATTTTTTGCATCGACCTGGAGGATCTGGTGGAGGTGTCATTCAGACGACAGCCAGTGAAGCAACACTGGTATGTCTCCTGGCAGCAAGGACCAGAGCCATCAGAGCTATTCAGGAGAGTGAGCCTGATCGATCACCGGCTGAAATAAATTCACGACTCGTTGCTTATTGCTCGGATCAGGTGATTAATTCATAGAAATCGCAATGGCAGTTTTTTGAAATAATATTCGGTATTGATGGAATTATTTCAGGCGCACTCGAGTGTTGAGAAAGCTGGACTCATTGGATTGGTGCAGATGAGGTACATCGAGGCTGATGACGAACTCAGTATGAGGGGAGATGTCCTGATAGAGGCCCTAGACAAGGATCGAAAAGCCGGTCTTGTCCCTTTTTTCGTGAGTCCCAATTTTCCACCACTTCACATAATTCTATATTCACTCATTAAATTTTTTCTCAATTCCATTTTTTCGGATATTTTATTTCAAGTAATAATTCAACTTGGAATTCTCGAAATTCCAATGCAATGAAAAATTGATTTTAATAATAATTAATAATTTATTAGAATAAATAGAGCAATTGATGTCGTTCGTGCAATTATTGAAATTTGTATTAATTGATATTAAAGGTCTTAAGAATAGAAAATACAGTACCCGATGTACATGAGATACTCGTAAAAGTATTGAAAAAAATAATTACGCATTGTTTGCAATAGCAGACAATTAATTGGTGATAAGAGGTGGGCAGACAAGCTTCTTACTCTCAAGCATCGGAGTACCAATTCTCCACAATTAGTGTAATAGGGAATGTTGAGAGGTCGGTAATGAGTCCCACAGGGACTCAAAATAATCTTCCCCAAGTCCTGAAAAAATAGAGACAATCCTGGCATTCGTTTCACTGAAACTCTCCGAGTAATTGACGATTTTTGTTCGTCTCATAGGTATGCGCAACCCTGGGAACGACAGGCGCCTGCTCCTTCGATAATCTTGAAGAAATCGGACCGATTTGTGAGTATCTAATAAAACTGGATTTCATATCAATAATTAAAAACTGATTTACCCCGTTCCTTTTATCTTGATAAAATTAAATAGAAGATATAATAAATAATTAATAATAATAAATAATTGTTGAAAATTAGTTGTATCGGTTGTTGAATGAGAATTTTACAATTGTTCGGTTAAACTTCCGAAAGATCCTAACACATTGTAATTTTTGGTTGACCGATGGAGACATTAACCTCTTGAATGACTGTACCATTTTCTCCATCACCAGGTGAACGGAATTGCCTATGGTTACACATCGATGCAGCATATGCAGGTAGTGCTTTTGTCTGTCCCGAATTTCGCGGTTGGTTACGCGGTGTCGAGTACGCGGATTCCCTGGCCTTCAATCCAAGCAAATGGCTGATGGTACACTTCGACTGCACAGCCATGTGGTAAAATCTCATTGTTACATCTCAATATCTCCCAGAAGCCGCAAGATCTCTCTTCAAATTTTCTGACAACCCATAAAACTCGATTCGGGCGGATGCCAATGCGCCGTTATGTCTTTTTGTCTCCTCACAATTTCCGGAATTATTCCAACGGTTTCTGAATCGTCTTTAAAGATGAGGGATTATTATTTCCAGGGTGAAGAGCAGTCAGGCACTCCATCGGACTTTCAATGTTGATCCTCTCTATCTCAAGCACGAAAATTCGGGTAAACCATCGAAATTATTTCTAACTGCGAGAATTTTATTCATCAATTGCAATTTTAATTCCAGGTCTTGCCATTGACTACATGGTGAGCCCCTTTATTTCAAATTTCAATATTTTTCATTAATGAATAATCATTTATTCCGACAAACGCCGAGAGATACTGAATTTTTCATTCAATTTATTTTATTTACTTCGTCTATCATCCAATAAAAATAATTTTCGTGATAATCCTCTGCGTATTTTTTTTTTAATAATATATTCATGAATAATTTTCATCCAGCACTGGCAAATTCCATTGTCCAAGAGATTCAGAGCCCTCAAGCTCTGGTTCGTAATCAGAAATTACGGAATCACTGGACTGCAGAAGCATATCCGTGAGGTAATTAATTTTGTTAATTAAAATTATTAATTTTTCGCTCACCGGGTGATTGAGAATTTGGGAATCGATTTTTTTGGGGGTATTCCAGGGAGTTCGTTTAGCCCAGAAATTCGAAGCCCTCGTTATCGGTGACTCTCGATTCGAAATTCCTGCCAAGAGACACCTGGGGATGGTGGTGTTTCGACTCCGTGGAGAGAATTCGTTAACTGAGAAGTTACTGAAGAAGATGAACACCAGAGGAAAGGTGCATTGCGTTCCTGCAGCTCTTCATGGAAAATACGTTATCAGATTCACTGTCACATCTACGAAGTGAGTCCCCTCAATTAATCATCAATTTTCATTAAACCAGAGTCCAACGTGTCGCTTCAAAACTGAAAAATCATTCTACTCTGTCAATTCTCAATAGAATTAATTATTCACTTGTCAGTAAAATGATTAATTGAGCACTACACAATTTTCTCCAATTGTCTCTCCAATCTCAGTATTATATATTCGAATTAATTCCCATTCATTTAATTCATTGAATTCATTCATTCGTTCAATTTCTGAAGCACTACAAATGAAGATATCCTTCGAGACTGGGGAGAAATAAAAACAACAGCCAGTGAAATCCTGGCGTCAACCAGTGGATCACCTGTCAGGGTGAAAGTCTCTTTAGCAGGTAGACCTGATTCCTTTCTTCCCTTGATTCTGTTAATCACCCACGAATAATTAAATAATAATTACATAACAGAGACTCGTCAGAAAAATGAAAATTTCGGATCTAGTCTTCTCCTCGCTAATTCCCCGATGTCTCCCAAAATCGTCAACGGAAGTTTTGCCGCTATTTATGATACAGCTGATGTTTTCAACGATTGCATGAAAACATTCGGACAATTGCGACTCGAACCTAGTGACAGTCCGGGTGAGCACAAAAATTCAACCCAATTATTTCCTTCGGAATTTGAAATTAATTATTGATAATTATCGATATGTTTCAGCGATGAGGCGACGTATCAGAGGGATTTTAATGTCTGGCAAGCAATTTTCCTTGGACTCTCGGATGGATCTCGTTCAAGTACGAATATAATCAATCAAGTAGTTAATCTGAATGGAAAATGTTAATGAAAGAAAAATAGTTTATTGGATTAAATAATATTGGGGTGAGAGTGAAGTCATGGGAATTTATTTTCAGGGATATGCATCGTGTGGACGTCATTACGCAGAACCGACAAAGAATTCTCCACTAATTGAAGATGAAGATGCAAATGGAAAGTCCGAGTCGACCCTCAGCATCGATAAATCCAGTATTACCATAGACGGTGAGGCTCAACAGTAATGTAACTTGAATCCTCCCAGATAATTATTTTCTCCAGTATCTAGTTGATTTGCAAACAATTCCCTGCCAAGATAGATTAGAAAGCTCGTTAGTGAGAAATTCTGTAGCTCTATCAGTAGCTTCAGTATAGAAAAATGGAGGAAACAGTGAAAATATCATTCGAAAAATCCAGGCTCTTACGATAATTCATCATCGATATCAGGCTCGGAGCTCTCAGTTGATGATACCCCATTAGTCGATAACAGGATGACACTGGTGCGAGGAGTCAACGGAGTTGTCAGTAATGATGAGTTTATTCTGGATAAAGGATTCCCAAAGAGTGAGACAATCGGGGGAATTAGCAATTTAACAGCAACGAGTGTCAGCAATTTGTCTCATTCTGATAATGAGATTCGTGGAGTCATCGGTAATGTCTGCGCCAAATGCGGACACATCAAAGATCACTAGAAAAATATCTGACGAATGCCAAAAAAAAGTCAAAGACAAGGGAAAAAATTAGTATTAGAAAAGAGAATGCAATTAAACGATAAGGAAAAGCCAGTGATTAAAAATTGTCTCTTGAACGCATCGATGTCGAAGGATAAATAAAAAAAAAATTCCTTAAACTATTTGAAATGATGGTTTTTAATGTTCAGACGATCAATAAAGTACAAATATCAGTTGGAGACTTAGATTTTAATGTGATCGATGATATGACATGATTTCTACAATTAATCTTTCCTCTTTATCACAAATCATTCAGTTATCCCTCTCTTTTGCTCGCACTCCTCTTTGATTTCTATCCTAATGATATCCCCAAATGTTAATTAAATCGCGTGAACGTGAGCACAATTTTACGTACAACTATGATATTTCATTGTTCCGCGATTAATACAGTATTTTTCATTCCACTCGTACGTGTTAACATCATTTCGGTAACCTAATTACCCATTATAAATAATCTTTAACATTCATAACAACGTCGTATATCATTCTTCAATAATTATGAGTTAATATCAATCGTAATTGGATATCAATCTGCGGTGATCGCAGTTGATCATAAAATTGTAGCAAGTGTAGCTAGAAATGATCATAAATTCGACTGTTGAAGAAATCGCTGAATTAATTACTGGAATTTGATTGAAATATCTTGAGAACTCTGGAGAATTCAGATAAAATTCTTCAACAGTGACTCGGCGGTGTGAAATTCTCTCCATGAATAATTAATAACAATCTGAATTTATTGTTAAAATTCACGAGAATCGGGCGTAATTTATCTACGCGACATCTCAAGAGCAAAATCTAAGAAATAATCCGTGCATGTCGACATGATCCCACCGTTCCAATAATTTCAAATGAATTTCCACAAAAGGCCACGTAAAAATTAAAATTCAATAAAAAAAACCAAAAAATTTTCGTAATTCCCGGGCGAGATGTCAACCGTAAAAAATCCACAAAGAATAAAAACTCTCTCCCTTCACTCCAATTGATAAATTCTGAGATAAAAAATTCAAAAGTCAGTCAAAATAAATTAGACATTTAGCATTTTTTGTTCGATAATAAAATAGAGATTATTTTCTTCATCGATTTGTTGATAAAAATAAAAGCAATTAACGATTCGAAATAGTGAATTACCGGTCGATGTGCACGGTGATACCGTCTGGATGCTGCAACAACGACATTAATCGCTTTTTACAAAATAATTACAGCATAAAACGATGGATAGGGGGAGATGTGCAGCGTCCAACGTCTCGACACTCAATGTGGGTGCAACATAGATCATATAATGATATACATTGAGAGATTGAAAGGTAAAAAACATGTCATTGTTTACATAATGCGGAATCAATTACCTCGCTTTCACATTATCGTCAATCTCATTAATATAGAATATATTAAATATGTATAGATTTTCATATAAAAAGCGCTCTTGCTCGGCTGCCAACACCCAAGGAGATGTCTCACGACAATTAATTTTTTTTTTATCCATTTTTATTTCTCTACCTCACATGGCACGTGGAATTCGACTGCGAGGCCAGATCACCAATCAAACAAATACCACATTATTTTTATTTTAAATAAGAAACGTTAAAGAAGATATAAAATTCACTGCAAAAAGGAATCGCCTCTGCCGGACAAGTGCGTGCAGAAAAATCCGAAGATTTTAAAATGTAAATGAAAATATTTAAACATTCACAGGTGCCAATTGAATTATCTTGGTGATAATCAACCTATTCAGCAGAAGTTGTCGTTTTTTAAGTGTCAAACTTATTTTATAATCTAAAAATCCAACGAATCGATCCACGCGAATTTAACTATCGAGACTAAGGCACTTGCGTCACGCGTGGTGTTTCCGGATATTTCAAGTTGAATCCTCACAATATTCACTGTCTCAATAAAAATAAATAATTCAATGAAAATGGGTGAATGTTTGGTGATAATTGTGGGAATAATTGGGTAAATTGGAAAATGGCCTCGCAGACGCGCGTGCAAAAATGAATAAATGACACGACATGAGCCGCATGGCTTGCCAAAAGAACCTCGGCGGGTTTATTTTTTTTTAATGAACCGGGTGGCGCGAAGTTTGTTTGGCAAAAGGCTCTTTGTAAAAAAAAGCCTTTCTGTGAGGATGTGCGCGTTCAGCTCGAGCCTCCAGCATCATCCAGATCATCATCAGCCATTGGTATCCTGCATGTCGTTGGGTGCTTGGAGGACAGGAGCTGAAGGCCCACGGTGCATTATCTTCGATTTTCTTAAATTATTTTTCGTCAGGGTGGAAGGTGGGGTTGCAGCAACTCATTCCAATCCACGATGATTGAGTGAAATAATCATATTCACGGTAATTATGATTTTTATCAATTGTAATGATACGTCAATGTCATGGATTACTAGACCCCATGGAATAATTCGGGACCTTGGATTATTTGTATTATTTATATTTGTCACGTGAGATCGGAACGAGCAGCTGGAGATTGGAAGAATAATAAACCGAAACGGAAATTGTTATTAAAATATCATGCAACCGTGCAGTGCCGGTGCTGTGAGACCTGAACTCGGAACAATTCGATCAATCTTCTATCAATTTACCATCAGTCTTCACCATCTGGAAGCTCCACAAGTCCAACTCGTATACGTTCGAAGGTCAGCCTCATTGGGTGAATGCAAATATTTAAAATAACATGCACAGAGAAAAAAATTGGGTAACAATTACCGATAACTCCACCAAATGATTTTCCAATATCAAGAATTCAATAAATTCGGATGATTATTTTAATTCAGTAATTCATCCCCAATTTTATTCTCCACCAGCGAAATCGATTTTTTAAATAATCCCTCGGCGATCGAGAAAAAATCACGTGAAATAACTTCAACACGTCAATTATTAAGCATGAACTAAAACATAAGCGTGAATGAACGGTAGAGGTAATGGATCTAAATGAACAGAAATCGATAACAAGTATTGATAAAAACATTGACATTCAGGGAGGGGAGAGTGTGATTAATGATTATCGATAATTCGTGAGTTCAATTGAGTGGTATTGAATATTTGAGAAGATGTTGTTCATTCATCCGTCTCTCCCCAACTGAAATGCAAGAACCCCTCGGATATTGAAGCATCTTCACAATCATAAATTTCTACCTAATTAATTATCTATCTACTCGTTATGATGCCGAGACTCTTCAACTAGAAGCAGTTCAATGAATGACGTTTAAAATTTATCTAAAATTTGTTTCACAGAAACTGAATAATTATTCCAATATCAGAGGACAAATCAGCTTCCAGTTGTCGATTCTCATATCGAAATAAAAAAACAAGTGGTGGGCATGCCACTAAAACACACTGTGATGATGCCCTCAAGCATCTAACACTCAATAATTTCTCGTTCGTGAGAAATCCACATTGGAAAATATCTAGGAATGCGAGTAATTTAGGATAAATCTAATCTCAAACATGTGCACTGTTAGAAATTTTTCATTTGATTGAATAAAATCTAGGCTTCAGCAATAATTTTTTTCTCAAAACCTCAACTGCCTCTCAGCACGGAAATATAAATTAATCAATCAGTTGAGTTAAAAAAATAATTAGTTATTATACTCAGTAATTTTCGAACAGTGCAATAAATTCAAACTACACCTCTCACTAAAACACGTGATAGCAGTGAAATCATTAACGCCCATGCCCTCGTAATCACTTGTCTAATTGCATAAAATTTTCTTAATTATCATAAAATCATTGATGAAGGATGCTGCTTGTCCCGGACTGTCCCAGGGTCCCATACATTATTAATTATTGTTCTCTCAATTATTTGAACATCAGAGTGACTAAACACTGGAGTCTCCTCCTCTGATTTCATCCCGATCATTTCAAAAGCAATTATTGACGAATAATTATCCCCGGATGCTGGCCACAATCGTCTCTCGATTGCAATTAAATTGCAATGGATATTATCTCAAGAAATATTCCCCCCTTTGAAGGTGAAAAAAAATTCGGTGATTATTCCTGAGGACGAGGTGTGACCAGCGGGTCTAGAATCTATCGGGATCTCTACGGGAAAATAAAAATGTACAAACGATCAAGTGTGGTTGACAAACGGTGATAATCACAGTGACCTACTAAGCAAGCCTGGACTCTTCAGGATTGAATTGATAATTAGGATTGTTGATAGGATGAGCAGAAGTGGGGCATTGGAACACGTGGATTGGGATACCCGATTGCACATATCTTCCTCACAGAAGCACATGTGACCAGTGCCGGTACTTTCCATCATGCACACGTGGTCGACCATAAATAAGTTTATTTGCAGTTGGGATGTGCAAGTTCTCCGGACACTCTCGTAGGCTGTAACATATTATTATTTTTTCTCAAATTATTTATATTTATTCACTTATCAACAATTTCAAGAATTTCCATTTTGTTATTTCATTTATCCAAAATTTAATTAGCATTTTATTAATATGATTCATTTATTTTTTTTTAATAAACAATCTCCCAATCTCCCACGTGATGAGAGAATACGATTGGGAGCAGATTTTTTAATTATTGTTTGGGGAAATTTGAGGATTTTTTAATAGAATAATGATTTTTTTATGTTAAACAATGATAAATCGGTTGAATTGAATTTAAAAACTCACGTGATCTCTGATTTCTGACCATTTTGACGCAGCAGCCATTGCAGGTCATGAGAGGGGGCTGATCCCTAGGAAGTGCCGTATAATTAAAAGGGTCTTTGCACCTTAAATCAGTCCACGAGTCGCACTCGTAGCAGTAGACTGATCTCGCTGTCGTGAAAGTACAATAAAAATCATTGGGTAAATTTTTAAACCGGTGTAAAATAGAAAAATGTGGAAAACTCTCACGGAATGAATCTCGTAACACAGATATTTATAGTGACAACTCACTTTGACACTCGGCATGACAGACGTTGGCAACCGCTAGTAAAATTGCCACTGAAAAATATGTGATTTCACTTCAGAAGGATTTCGTTTACGATTCACATCATTTTGGATCTGTTGATTTGTCAACTCATAGGAATTTTATCTACTCTAATCGTCTAATGTAACTACAGAAATCATGTGGATGTAACAATTTCGTTCGAATGATGGAAGAAATTTTTCATCGTTTCGATTTCTCTAACGACTCACCATTCGGTGGGGTTTCCCCCTCGAGAGCTCGCCCTTTTCTCCAAATTATTATTAACATTTGCAAATAATATATTTCTACCCACTACATTTTTCGATTCATGAATCTATTTTCTAAATATATATTATTATTACACAGAATTTTTATTCTAAATCTGCTATTCACTCGATTGTTCAAAAATTTCATGAATTATCGACGAAAATAAAATTCAATCCATTCAATTATTTATTAATATTATTATTATTGTAGAATTAATTGCTATTTCTCTTCTCTTTCAAAGAGAGGGATTTCATTCTCTGATTAATGACCCAGCAGTAATGAATTCAGTGGGAGAAATAATAAATCACAAACCGTAAATGCCCACCTGTTATCATGTAATCGGCTCCCATGATGGATTCACCTACAAGATGTCATCAAACGATTCTCGCACCTTCAACCCTTCATGTTGACCCACAACAGAAGTTGACATACACCCCCTGTCACGTGGACTCGACCAAATATAAATTTGATCGTCTCGGGTGGATCCTGAAACAATTGTGTCATCACATGATTCGAGAGATAAATATTTTCAGATAAAAAAAAATTCAAAAAGAAACGAAATTCATCAGGAATAATTCATTAATTCCCTGTCAGAGCTAGGGTATTGTTTCTAAGGACTTGTATTCCCCCAACCCTCGCCATTTTCCCGATCTGGGTCAATGGTATGTCATTCACTGTCAAGTGGAATTTTTAACGCAGCGAATCACTCAAATGCTGGCATAATAATCATAATGAAGGCTTCATTACATAAATGCCTAAAATTAGACGGAGGGAATTGCCCCAATTAAATCAATCAATTGTAATTGTTACCCCAGTAATATACCAGACAAATGGAGAATAACGGAAAATAGCCAAAAATTTCGGGATTTCAATGTTTCCAAAAATTTTCAAAATTCCCTGAGAAATAATAAAAAACGAGGAAATTCATAGGAATTTCCACAATTTTCCGAAGTAATTGCAAATTGAATTGAAAATTCTGATTATAATTAATTGAATATCCATTATTAATTTATTATTAATCATTCAGACGAATTCAAAATAAAATTCAAAATATTTCTTGACTAATTTGAGAAAAAAAAATGTAAATATGACAGAGTGAGTAAAAAAAAGTGTTAAAAATGGTGGATGGGATTCCTTAATAAAAAAGAAACCGAAGAAAATGTTGAAAATTCATCTAGATCACCTGACCTACCCCAATCAGCTTGACCCAGGGGCACTTTTCTGGCTTGACCATTGCACAACACTCGGAATTACCTTATTAAATAAACAATTATCCAGACAACAGGTTCCTCATGAAAACCCTCGTCAATCACAATATTCTGAATAATCCAGGAGAAAGGCCGGATAAATTAGCAGGTAGCACATGTCCAGTGTCCAGGGGAATTAAAATCCTCCGATGACTGGAGAAATTCCGGCCGAGACATTTCAGCCACTCGAGCCTATCCCCAAGTACTTCATGTTTATTAATTCCGGGGAAGTCCCTCAAAGCAATCCGAGAAGTCACTCAACACCTCTGGAATAATTCGATTACAAGCGAATGATCATCTAAAAAACCACCCCCTCTTCATATTTTTAACAACCACTATTCCCTGTCTCCTCAACAATCGTATCGATTACAATTGCAATTATAATCAACACGATAATTGATAAACAGAAATAAAAATCATCTGATTCAATAAATCCGTCAGTAATTTGTTATTGTATCACATTAATCGATCGCGTTTTTCAGGACTCCTGCATTGCTGATAAATAAGTCAACTCTGAATAATTAATTCGGGTCAAGACGTCATGCGAAAGTTATTATCGATAAGAACAGTAGTGTGTAAATAAATGAGATTCTCTCAAGTGAGATAATAAGAATGACAGATTGATGTGAATTAGCAGGGGATCGGGATTATTCAAATAATCGAATTTTTTTCAGTTATCTTTGATTGATAATTTTAATGTTAATTAATGATTTCCGGATTGTTTCGTCTTTTTGGCACCCACGTTAGGGGAGATCAGGCCGACGAGGAGTTCACTCACTGCACTGTCCCTGCGGATCACTATCAGTTTGACTCTTTGAACAGTTGCTACTGTGGGTACAGAATATTGCGATTGCGCCATGTGGAGATTGAGAATTTTGCCTTTGGTGGGTAACACCTGAGCCATGGGATCAATAATGATTTTGCTGCATACCGCGGGGAAATTCTGCGCACGCGTCCGACAGAATTGACAACGAATTTTTTTTTTCACCGAAGGGTGGAGGTGTCATTGCACCCGGGGAGGATCCAAAGGGGTGCAGAATATTCTCATAATATTCTTGAAACTATATATCCAATTTCAATAATTTTTTCCACTCCATTGGTTTATTTCTCTGGCATAAATTCACTTGACAAATTCAATGTTTTCTCGATTCAATCAAATAAATTAATTGTTATTTCGAAATATAATAATTATCATATAATTGATAATTATCATTGCAATTTGTGTAATATAGTAATTATTTATCATTTATTTCTCAGCGTGGAGATTCTGTGGAATTTTATTTCAGTATGTGAGGAAAGAAAAATCGGGAATAATTGCGTTGCGAAGAATTGATAAGTGGAACATATCACGACAGCTTGAAAAGAATCGATTACTCATTGCTAACGGCCTGTCACGTGTTGGATTCGATTAAATAAATGCGATAATTCCGATTGAAGGTCTAGGTAAATTCGGTTGTAACAGAAATGATGAAAAAATGATTTCATGACCGAAAATCAAGTCATAGTATTATCACAAGTATAAACAGGAATTCCCGAGTGAAAAAACCCCCGGTTTTTCGCTATTTATGATATTTTTTATATTTTATGATAACGATATATTTTATGATAACGATCGATAAATTAATTACGATCTGAAATTAAATTATGCTCATTACCGATTCCTTATATGATATTCCAGTGAGTTCTGAAATCCGAAAAAAAAAATTGCTCCACCGGAAAACGTCGGCGAAGTCCCATAAAAATCCCAGGATAAAAAGACCACAAAGACTTAGTGATTTATCGAAATATAAAAACGTCATTGCGCTAGGTGCGACAATGGAATTTAATTTGCGGTATTTAATTTGATTTTTCAAATTGAAAGTGTCAGTATGCGTTGAGATTGTGTTACGTACGCTTCTGGTATTACCGATTTCCATTGAAAGTACTGGTCATAAGGAATATCCATGAATTTCATTAGTCAGTCGTCGTCAGTGTAATTCAAAGAAGGAAATGATGATTTTTTCGCGACATCCGTATTTCTGGTATCTATTATTTTTCAATCTCTTCGGGATATTCAACTCGCAGCCTAGAAATTCACCTGAATACGAAAAAGATGGTATGACATTTTCATTGAATTTTTGGACGGGAAATTCGCGTTGCAATGCCCTCAATTTATTATCGGTCAATTTAACAAATAATCCTATCGATTGTTTTGTAGAAAAATTTATTTAAAAGGCTCTTCATTCTTTTCTTCAATTTTTTCTTACTCGACTAATTCCGAAACAATGAGTTTTTCCATTTTCATTGAGAATTTAAATTCATTTAATTCCAAAGAAAATTCAATTCAAGAGTGAACGTTCACTATTTCACAATAAAATAATGAAGTGTTAAAATTAAATGATTAATTATGTTCTCCCCCCCATCGCGGCGAAAACTCAAAATTTTCGTACCAAAAACCCGAAAAACAATTCCACCGATCGAGCTATCGCAATAATGAATGAAAAAAAAAATCGACAATTGAAAAATCATGATCTAATCCTTAACTCCCCTTTTCACTTCTCTGTTCAGCATCATCTTCGATCACTCCACCGACAAGAGCCCACCGTTTTTTTCTCACTGAGAAAAATCAACTAATAAAAGAGGTGAACACAGACGTAAAAACCTTGTTGCGTTACTTCCCAGGTGTATCCGATGGAATAACCTCAACGAGTCGATCTCTCGGGGAGATGAAGTCATACGCATATACCTGCCTGAACGAGATCAAAGATATCCGCACGGAGATAGCCCTGATAAAGTTCCAAACGATGTACCTACCGATGAACTTGACGAAATTGTCTCAAAACTTGGAGATACGAGATCAAACGATGCTACAACGAGTAACCAATGGAACAAAAATAGTGTCAGGTGGACTGGTAGCCCTGGGGAAGTACTACATAAGCCTCCGAAACGATTACCGAGCAATCCGAAGAGATCTCCGAAGACTGATAGAAATGATCGCTAACGCCACAGAAGCACCACCACCAGAAGATCAACCGATTTACAATCAGGCGACAACCACATCCGCTCTGATATCAACCCCCAACCACTGGCCGATGATCGAGCACCAGCTCAACACCTCCAACTCAAAGCTGCACGATTTAACCCTCTCCCAGGAGCAGATCAAATCGAGAATAAATGAAGCAATCACTAGATCGGACAACGGGATCTCCCGTTTGGAGCAAAAAATTGAGATGGCACTTGCAGGACTCAACGCGGACAACAAAGTCGTCCACGAGCGGATAATCAACGATATCCTGAGGTTGATGCAGCAGATGTCTGACCTGAAGAGCGATATCTCGTCAACCTGTGGATCAACGTCTCCACACGGTATAAAAAATCCTTCAATATCGGTTCATCCCCAACATTACGGTCCCAACAGAATACATTCGGGTAAAATCACCTCCAAATTCGTTCCACCCCTGAATCTAGCCCAGTTATTTGAGTACTGGTCGGTCGTTAACAGGTTCCAGGCAATCTATCAAAAACTCCTAGATCAGAATCCAGTTGTGGGACTCGGCGGGGCAATCGGTGTAGGAAAGCTCATGAATTTGCCACGAGGATTGCCAGATTACACGGGACTCATGGGAGGATTTTCGGGTCTTGCGTTAATTCCCGATGACGAATTGATAAATCTGAAGCAATTGTTCATGGAATCACTGGAACTGATGGGTATTATGCCCAAGTTTCAAAATACATCTGAAGGATGGTATGATGAGCCGATTGGCACGCCGAGACCCGCACCCCCTGCGCCCATTGACTCATGGTTGGAGCCGTGGTTTCATACCGAATCTACGATTTTTCCCACAGACAGTTGGGGATTTGGTGAGGGAACGACTGAGCATCCTCATGCATTTCCTGGTACGCATGTTCCACCGGAGATTATTGAGCTGGAGGGATTGCCACCGACTCCGAGGCCAACGCTGCCATCAGTTCCTGATCCACCGTATCAGCTCGTTCCTAGTGTCACGGATATCACAGGGATTCCAGGATTGATGCCAGAGGAGAGTGCAGATGAGATGACAGACGGGATAACAGGGATTTCAAATCAATCTTCGGAGGGGATTACTGAGGGAAACGGAGAGCCAACGGTGCAGCAGTCTCCAACAGTGATTTCGGATAGTTCCACGAGACCGTCAATTATTGCGCCAACACCTGCTGATGTCCCGGAACCACCGACACTCCTTGAACCTATCACCGTTCTCAAAGCTACAGGTCTCGAGGGCCATTGCGCCTGCTCCTGTCCCTGCGCCTGCACCTGTCCAATTTTGCCCATTGAATTACCAACGACTGCTTCGAGACAGTGGTGGACAGGGATTTATCATCTGAAGCGTCCGAAAAAACTCAACTGCAAGTGTCTATGTGCTTGTCCCTGTCCTCCAGAGTACATCGTCGTGCCACCGATCACCGATCATGATCATGATCACGGTCATGATGACGATCACGATCACACTCACGATCAGGATCACGATCATGATGATGATCATCCTTATTACGACGATCTTGTACCACCCATCAGTGCATCACCCACCACTGATACCAAACATGATGACAAGTACTGTGAGAAAGTTGGAGACCTAGCCAGGCGTATCGACGAACTCAGGGCTGATTTTCAGATCATGAGGCTAACTGTCAGGGATGAGATGGTGATCACTAGGGAGGCCATCGTCACCCAGATGAATGACAAATTTCTCGCTGTCTCTGCTGCACTTGCTACCAGTCATTATAAGAATGCCATTCTTCATTCTAATGATAAGAATGCCACTGATAACGTCAGGAATTTGGTCAAGAGACAGTTCATGAGGAGCCATTATATGTTGAGGCGTGTGACGGGGGCTGTTGGCAGGGTGCAGAGTGCGGTTAGAGCAATGCGTGAGTTTTTCCCGTTTTTAAATTGTTATCTTATTTAATCGTAAAATTAGAAAATAAATCGTGAAAAAAATCCGGTAATTGACGTACGCGAATTTTTATTGAAGAGAAAAATCACATTTACGTACTATTTTATTGCAAATCATTATTTTAGTGTTTTCTTCTTCAATTAAATTCAATTGATAAATGCAATATTTTTTTTTATTGTAAACAATTAATTTTATTTTATTAAAATGCTTTTTGTTTGAAGGGAATTCTTAGTTATTAGTGCTTGATTGTTGAAGTGAATGTTTAAGGGTTTTGTCAGAAAAATTATTCTTATTTTTCAGTGAAGAATTATCCACAGAAAGTGGGGAATCCCCAAGATCAGTATGACAATCCATATGGACAGGCGCGCCGTCGGTACATGGGGATGGAAAGAGCATTGAGACCCCCGAGAGATTTTCCTGATGATAATTACGAGTAGAAATTATATCCATTACATTTGTAGCAAGAACGTAAGCCATCGACGCAATGAAGTGGCGTCTGATGGAATAATGAATTTCCAAATGAATGTATTTTTTTTCTGCTTCATCTTTCGTCCTGTCTTTCCGTTTCCAGATGGTGGAGGACTTGAGAAATTAAAGAAGAATCCACCAAGCAGGGATCAAAAAAATAATACCAAGGAAAACAGCATAAAGTTATTATTTCAATTAAAACAATTATCAACTTATTTTAATTCGATAAAAATTCTCAGCTGACGCCGATTTTTGTTTGTCAAATAAATTGAATTAGAAATAATTTTTTTTCCGACCATGACTCGTCGGTCTCTTCCTAACCAATTCAAGGATCCCTCAAGGACAAATATATCACGCTTTCCAGGACCTCTTCTGGTTAATTTTCTGACGCCCCCCGCGACCCCCTGACTTAATTCCACCTCTTCCAACCAGATGATTATCCACCGCCCTCTGAATCCTAATTTCAAAATTCTTGTTCCCAAAATCCCCGAGCTGTCTTCCAACCTTGGCAATGACATCCAGATCCCTGGAGTACGGAACCGGTTCCTGTTCCTCCGCGACGTAATTCCGTCTCGCGTAAAATCCCTTGTGTTCCCGAGTCCCAGGGTCCCCCTGTGAACCCCTTCCTGGAGGATCCGCCCTTCGGCTCAAGTTGACCATCTGCAGGGATTCCTGGGGGTTCTCCAGAATTCTCTCGAGCTCCTTGAGTTCGTCGTCATGCCGGGAGTAATGAATATCCGCGGGATAATTAACCGTCCTCCCATTAACCGATTCGTCATTTCCATTGTAGCAGCTAATGGGCATGCCATCAGCGTCGAATCCCCTCTCACAATCACTCTTCGGCCCACTGTCAAATCCCCGAGAGTCCTTTTGTCCTTGAGGTTCCTCCACCCCTCCGGAACAGGGGACCTGCGAGGCACGTCGATTTGTCCGATTAATGTCTCTCTCCCACGACTGCCTCGGGGGGTCCTCACCCCTATAGAAATCCGTTGAATGATCATCAGATCCTCCACCACCCTGATTTCCTATCGATCCACTCCGAGGCTCATCCGTGGAGTAATCGTCCTTGAACCACTGCCTCTCGAAATGATCATTAATGCTTCCTCCAGGGGTCGACGACTCGTCAACATCTTCCACGACGTAAGCCTCTGGTTTCTTCACCGGTTTTCGCTCCTTTGGTGGTCTTTTCGTTGACCTTGATCTTGATTTGACCTTGGAACTGCGCGTTGGCTTTGGTTTGCCCTTGGTGGTGCCCTTGGGGCGAGAGTTCTTACCCTTTTGAATCTTTTTCCGCGACGATTCCTTCGTCGAGTTCCTCGGGGCCTTCTGACGTGTTTCCAAAACCTTTCGGATGAGGGGAATCGATTTTTTCTTCTCCTCTCGTGACATCTCTGGTAGGACATTCTTCAAGGTCACCAAGCCGTGCTCAAACTTGTTGACCCGACTCTGTTTGTGGATTCGTTCCAGTTGACGACGAAAATCCGTCGTCAGTTGGTCGATGTTTATTGTCGTGTCGGGACTCTCGGGGATGATTATGGAGATTATGTTACCCACGTCCATCGAGGTGTGCGTCATCACCGGGTGGGAACCTAGTGACACGGCAGACATTTTGTTGAGACTAATGTCGCTATAGATATATCTTCATTTCTATATTTGAATTGTTTGAATTTTTGATTTTTTAATTTAATTTACGATTATTTTTATTGAATTATTTTTTTTTTTTATGAAATTTTTTCCTCAACCAATGACTGATTTCTCTTGATTTCCCCGCGTAGATCACGATAAAACCCTCTGAAAAATGCGGAAAACCCTCGAGGTCTTCTCCCCGTGGAAGATTAAAAAAAAAAAAATTAATTAATTAATTGTCATTACCAAGTGCTCGAGTGAATAGCCAAAACAGGCAGACGAGCGTCGGAGACGCCATTGTTGCGGCTGCGAGGAATTCCTCAGGACTGGAGCAACAGATTTTTCTAAAAGAAATATTTTCCTCCGGTCCGAAGATTTATCGGATAATAAACTACATCAGACCGACATTTGTTGACTAATTACACTTTTAGTGGTAATAACTCTCCCTCCAGTCCTTCGTTGTTGCAACAATTGGAGGTTAATGCGCAAATTGTGAAATTACAGTATTTTTTTATCGCACAATATTTATTGACTTTTGACAATTTATTGAACTTATTAAATTAACTTTTCAATTACGGGAGGTTTCAATTATCAATTTTTTTTTATTTCTATTTGTCATACATTATTGTAAAATTAAATATGAGTAGATAAAAATAGTCTGTGAATAATAAATACAAAAATTAAATTAAAAAACAATTTTTTTATATTATCCAGAGAAATGAATATTTAATTGAGTAAAAATGCGGTAAAAGGGGTATTTTTGAAGTGGATTTTTTTTTTCAGGGCAGAGCTTCGATTTTATGAGGAATAAATACAAATGGCGGTCCCTCCATTATCAGAGCGCTGATAAGGTTCGCAGAATCCTCAGCAGATGTCGACTCTATCATACAATCTGTAAAGACAATATTTAAAAACCCTCAGAATCATATTTCATTCGACTTTCCTCAGAGAAAACTCGAAAAAAAAATATTTATTGGAAGTCCCCATTAATTTAAACAAATAGAAATAAAAAATTGAGATCTCATTAATTTACGATCGTAATTAAAGGGTATAAATGATAAATATAAACTGACATGTACATTACTTGAAAACAAATGCACAAATTGTTTTTATCTGATAAATGAATATTCAAACAGCATAAAATCGATATCTGAATATTCATGGGGGAGAGAGTGATAAATTTTTTTTTAAAATATTCATAACTAACGGATAAATTGATGAATTGGATTTTGATTGCAGATATGAATGATAATATAAAATTCAACATCTAAGTCAGAGGTACTTACACATAAGAAAATTATTAATTACAATAAATTGAATTAATTATAATAATTCTCACATTAATCAATTGTAACCGTAATTACTTGGATTTATTGATACTAGTATGCGCTCCCGAAATTTCTCAGAAGAAATAATTCAGATGGAACTCCATTAGTCGTGGAATAATTGAATTAATCAATCAGTCATTATTAATTAATCAACTGAGTGAATTAATTGTTTTCCTAATAAACTGAAAATTGATTATAATAATTGGAGATCAATAAAAATTCATGGGAATTATTCATTTTTAAATTGAATATGTATTTTTTGGTGAGTGCACCGTATGATCTAGCCGAAAACACCCGAGTGAAAAAATAATGACAGCTGTGACGCAAGTGTTGAAGTCGGTGGTGGATGTTCACCAGGAGTGGGAGAAATTCGTGTAGCAGGGAGATGTTGAACTTCCACACAGAATCCAAGTCGGTAGTTGAGTCCTCCTGCTGAAGGCACCGAAAAATTCAGTGATCAACGGATCTGTCGAAATCCCGAGGTACGGATAGTGATTCCCATTCAAAAATTCCCCAGATAATCGAAAATAATCGGGAAAACCCGACGGGGATGGTTTTTCCATCGGGGGAGGTTCACGCAGGCTTCGAGGGGGTGAATAAAAAAAAAAAATAACGCGGGGTCAAAGCCCCACGTTTTCACCCCCCTCATAACACACGACTGTGAATCGTCATTTTTTCGTGAAATCGCGACTTTCGCGGAATTCACTTTGAGAATACCGCGAGTTTTTTATTCATATTTATTATTTATATTTGAAAATTCGGTTGGTGCATTTTACAGGGTGTTCCTTGAGGCATTTGTTTATAATTCGGGTTCACCGACACCAGAACTCAGTCGATTTATTCCATTGGTAATATTTAAGAAAACATTCTCTCGAGAGATTAATATATAAATTTATTCTTTTTTAATTATAATAAATTGATTTTTTAAGGGATCAACTCGAAAAATGTCGGATGCGCCGTTAAAATTCTTCATTATCCATTTCTCTTTTCGATGTTTTTTTTATCTCGGCCCTCAGGAGAATTTTTATTGACTAACGGTTTTTCGAAAACTCTCGGGAATTGAAGAGAAAACTGATATTTTCTCGTATAATCTATCGTTTTTTAGATAAATCGGTTTTCCGTGGCATCGTGATACCACGTTCCACTTCACTAATCAATTTTATTTGCTTTCCGTGCAGTCGCGGCTTTGCGTCATGACTTGAAGTTTTGAAGCGGAAATTACTAATGATTTATTTGCGTCTTTGTTGATAAATCGGCGCTGATAGGATTTCATGTCAGGCTTCAGAAAACAGAAACCGATGCGATTCGTCTGACATTTTTATCTCAATTTTTAATGTTTTGGGAGCAGAATAATTGCGGCTGGATCGATGGAAAATATCGATTCAATTAATTGCGCAAGAGTGCAATTACCGTAACAGGTAGAAAATTTTAATGGAGATGCAATTTAATCTCGATCTCGATGGGATTTTTATTCTGATCGAATGGAATGTGAAAATATTTACGGTAGGACTCACCAGAATAATCTTCGCGCCAAATAAATTGCCCATCCTGTTATGGAATCCGCCGCAGACTGGACTTTGCCCCAACCGATTTTTTGCACGACCCAATAATTTTTTTCTGCCAACCAAACGACCGGAATTCCCGCAGATTTCCATGGAATTGTCTGAAGCTGCATTTCCTGCAATGCCCAATTGAAGGGAATTAATTTCCTCATTGTCTTCCATGAAAATAATAAATTGCAATCGCATTTATTCCATAATGATTTGCAAAAATTGATATTTGTCAGCAATGGGAATCATTTTTCTTAGAAAACACACACCAATCACCTGTCCTTGCTGAGTTGCGGTGGATTGTTACAGCAATTTGAAGTAAAAAAAAACTAGTTTTCCATCATTATGGGAATAATTGTCAGCGACTTGAATTACACTCGAGAGTGAATGTACTTAAATGGCTTCTCAATCAAGTGGAAAGATAACAGCACCATTCTGCTCATTAAATTCGGTCTTTCAATTTCAACTCAATTTTGTAGTGATTACATTTTTAATTGTCACTGCACTCGGGCATTGTTTTTCTCGAATGTATTATTCCGAAATCAGTATCAAATCTAGTATCAATTATCTTAAGAATAATTTATCATCGATCTCGGATGGATGGAGAAATCTCACCATCAGGGATATTATCTCTAGCGTTCTAAGTTCTGCTCTCAAATTCCCTGAACGCTTCGCCATCGTGGACTTTGCAATCGCATTGAGAATTCCTCGCATTCCAGAAATAAAACGAGTCTTCAGAGTGAAGTGGTAAAACGTGAATAGTCGACTTAACCACCACTTCATTTATCAATCAACATCTGTTCATCTTCCTCTGCGAGGAAGATGAACTATTTTTTGTACACTCCACATGAATTATTATTTCATTACAACACAAAATCCTGAATAAAACTCTCATGTCTTTGTGATACAATTTTTTTTTAGAAATACTTGAAGAGTGAGAAATGGAATCGATAATCCGTGGCTGTCAGCGAATGGGGCTTGTCCTGAAGACTGGAACAAGAATAATGAATGTGACAGTGAGACAAGCCTCAGTGGCTGCAAAATGGAAAACGATGGAAGGACTCAACGGTGCAAAAATATTCACATCGCCCTACGGTGATGTTGATATTCCATCAACAACAATGCCAGAATTCATCTGGCAAAACGTCAACAAATGGCCAACACGAGTTGCTCTGGTAATCCCCGACAACCTAAATAACAAATAAATATTTTATTCGAGCTCATGATCAACTTGTTCTCGAATTCGAAGGAATGCGGTGTAACAGGTCGAAAATTGACGTACGCAGAGGCTCGAGACAGTGCAAATTACGTTGCAAGGAGTCTCAGGAATATGGGACTCCAGGATGGCGATATCGTAGTGATAATTCTTCCCAATTTGCCAGAGAGTCCGATTGCATTGCTGGGAACAATGGAGGCTGGACTCATACCAACATCTGTCAATCCAATCGAAACAGTGGGTGAGTAAAAAGTTCATTAGCTCTCACTCGATAATTATTCAAACCATCGAGAGTTACAATAAAAAACCCGAATAATTAAAACCCAGAGCATGGATATTTTTTCGGTAATCAATGCTTTCACAATAAAAAATAAAAACATCGGTAATAATAACGTACATGATTGCATGAGCTTGAACTTCCAATTGGCTATACTTCAATAATTCTTCAATGCTGCATTCATTGCGTTGCACAATCGTTACACAACTGGAAAAAATGTGTTTAAATAATTCTATCGAAGCTATCAATTTGTCAGTCTGATAATAATTTCATGGATTTTCCACATATTAATTGGTACTGCACCGATTTAAAAAAATCTTCATTAATTATTCAACATTCCCCTATTACCGTGCGCCTGAATCCTTGTACTCTGTCCTCTGAATATGAAAAGATACCACCAAAGGATACCGTCAGCATAAAATATTATTTTTCCTACCAAATCATCGATTTCCGTCATTACACAAAGGTCATGTATTTGCGCATGATTGTTTTCCTCGTGAAGCATTGGATAATGTGCTTCGCAGAGAATTGCCGATCATAGCTTCACGATAAACCGACGCTGAGCGTTAAATTAAATACTTGGACTTCGTCTCGCTGAAGATACATGTGGCACGTTGTTATAAGAATGATACGATAGCGAGTATAATTTTAATAAGATTGCCGAAATTATATCACTAGTATTAATGATTTTGTAGCGGGCACGGTCGGCGACCTTTACCACGATCCAATCAGTCCCACGAATTTGCTATCGGAATTATACAATGGCTGGGGCTAATCAAAACGTGGACTTTGCTCTCTGTACTTGAATTCATTCACGTCAATGTAGTACGATACTGATTACATTGTTGCAGATGAAATCGCTAGACGAATTCAACTATTAGGTGCTAAAGCTGTCATCACGTCCAGTGGCATTGCCCCCAATGCTGTGGCTGCTGGAAATGCAACACTCCCACACAATTCTCCAATCATCGTTGTTGAGGATGGAGTTAGACCTTTGCCTGATGGGACAATACCATTCAAAGTATTTTTTATCTCTCATTACTCTCTCTCTCGAATTCACTCTCTATTTTTTTTTTAAACGGGAACTCCATCAACAGTTCCAGGAAAAAAAATTATGGAAATCAGGGTCTCCCTGGAGTTGCTGGAAAATTTATTTTTTACTGCTTCCCCTCAGGGAGACTGAGCTAGTGCTATCAATTATTCATTTATCAAACTATTTTGACTCGTGGAGATCGCAAGAATGAATGAGATTATTTACTGCTTCAGGATCTCTTGACGAGGGGGAAGACACTACCGGATGTTCCCAAGAATAATCGTACACCCGATGATATCTGTGTCTTGCCTTATTCCAGTGGAACCACAGGACTCCCTAAAGGTGTCATGTTGAGCCATAGAAATCTCATTTCTAATATACTTATGAATAATCAAAGCACAATGATGGATAATGGTAAATATTTCCTGGCTGGTGGTGAATTTATTCAGAGGATTTTAATATTTATGGTTTTTTATTCAACTATTTCAGACATTCACGATGTGATACCCGTAGTTCTACCGCTGTTCCACATTTATGGAATGAACAATATTCTGCACACGAAAATGATTCACGGGGCACATTTCATTACTTTACCAGTTTTCACAGCTGAAAATTATATCAATGTCCTTACGAAACATCCAGTAAGCTTGATTATTTATCGTAATTTTTATCGATTGTTTTGTGTAATATTAACTCACAAGTAGTCGATGTAATTTGGATACGGGATTTATTCTCAGTGTACTCTGATATTCTGCGTTCCACCGATTCTGTTGTTCTTGGGAGGTACGCAATTGTTGCAAAAGGAACACCTGAAAAATGTGAGAGCTATAGTGAATGGTGCAGCCGCCGTAGGTGGAACAGATGTAGCCAGAGTCTACGATAAATTTGCGCTTGATAACGAATCTGCGAAATTTATCCAGGGTATGTGTCGATGGCAGTTTAATAATCTATGGATTAAATGAATTTGATTTTTGATTTTTCACCAGGATATGGACTCACTGAGTGCGCGGGTGCTGGTTTTCTCCAGGCGATTAATAATCAATTCGCTAGCATTGGTCATCCCTGCGCCAGCGCTGAGGCAAGATTGGTTGATTCGATTACAGGGGAGGACATACAGACTCCAGGTCAAACTGGAGAAATCTGGATAAGAGGTCCCCACGTCATGAAGGGATACTACGAGAATGAAAAGGCTACGAATGAGACGTTTCACGATGGGTGGCTCAAAACTGGTGATATTGCTTACTATAATGATGAATTTGCGTTTTATATCACTGATAGATTGAAAGAACTTATCAAAGTCAAGGGCTTCCAGGTAATTATCCATTTTATTTATTAATATTCTCCTCTTGCTTTTATTCTGAATGTTTTTTATTTTTATCCTTTGAATATTTCAGGTTCCACCTGCGGAATTGGAAGCCATCCTTAGGACGCATCCTGCTATCAGTGATGCAGCTGTTATCGGTACACCTGATCCGAGATGTGGAGAAGTTCCAAAGGCATTCATTGTCCTGAAGAAGGGCCACACGGCGACTGCAGAAGAAGTGCAAAATTTTATCCGAGGGAAAGTCGCGGAGTACAAGCAAATTACTGGTAATTTTTTTTTTCTATCGATTGGAGAATTATTTCAGGGATAGTTCGGTTGTCCATTTCAATAGCGAATTAATTCTCTTTTTTTTTTATTAATCAGGGGGAGTTGTGTTCATTGACGAAATTCCCAGAAATGCAGGAGGGAAAATTCTAAGGATGAACTTGAAGAATTTTTGTCGTGGCCAGTAAATCGACAATCATTAATTCCGGAGAATCATTCGGAATTTTTATGACTAGATGACTGGGACTTTAATGAGTAGGGGGACTTACAGGCAGCACAGGGTGTATGATATAATGGAATGGACTGATCACATTTTGTGAGTTATTTGACTATTAAACCTGTTGATAGGCTCGTGGAATTTGTAATGCAAATTGTTGACGTCAAGTTTAAAAAATGATACCTTTCACTGTCGGACGTGTGCCTTGAATTATCATTCGTGATTAAAAAAATGAGAGATGAGGATTGAAAATTGGTTTAAGGTAGTAATGTTTAATTTTATACTCAGATATTAGAATAAATTGTAACAATAAAAACGATTTTATAGGGATGATCTGTGTTTTGAACTGAAATTTTGATCTCAGCCAGGAGACAAGGCCAGAAGTTGATATTTTCGTTTTTCCCATTTTTCTCGATAGATTGATTTGATTTAGTGAATTGGGAAAATGAAATGTCTACAATTGCAATTCGAATGGATGTTTCAATGAAAAAGTCACTCCACAAAAAGTTAAACATCTTATTTATTAATCTCTTGTATGTAGTCATAAAATATATATTTTTATCCACAAAATAATTTGAAATTGTCTCATTTAAAATAGTCAAACGAAAAAATCGCAATCATACCCGAGGCGATAACGATCTCCTCAATTAATTCTAAAAATAAAGAAATTTTAAAATTCGTTCGACTAATTTTCTAAAACTTCAACAGCCAGCGAAAGGCACTCCCGAAAATACCTGAGTAATTCACGAATTATCTATTTACATATTCTACATCACAATGACTACTTCAACGTAATAACAATAAAGAAAACTTAATCATGCATAATTGTCAAAAAGTTCCAGACTTCCATTATTATAAATCTCAAATAAAATACAAAAAAAGTAGAGGTCAAGATAAATCGAATCGACAAAACCCTAAAAAACAAATGGACAAAATAAAATGAGTATAATTCTCAACTATAACAAAGCTGCACGAGTGTGTAAACTAGCCCGAAAAAGTCTGCTAAGCAGAGATACTCTAATGAATCTTAATTATCGTGTACTTCACTGCCAATCAGTCACTCATTCCCCTGTTCTCGATCTCGATTGCAATAAAAAAAATAATTTTCATTGGTATCGCGTGAGATTCTCAATGAAAGCATCGATATCCTCACAATCCATCGGCATAAATTCCATCACCAACAGTCTTATCTGCTCCCAAATTCCATTGTCGTCACTCATTTAAGAGAAATAGACGGCTTTAGCAGCAGTTTATATCGTTCACTCGACGAATCTGAATTGACAAAAAAAAAATGCATAAAAAACAAATCAATCAAATCGTCAAAGACATACAGGGGCTTTTGCAATTTTCTCATTCCAATTTTTCTATGTATTTGTAGATTGCCATGTTTAGTATTTATTTGTTTAATTTTTAATTTATTTATTTTTCACCAAATTACCTTTTATGGTTTCAACAAGAAACATACTCTCATCTTTCATATTGGCAACAAGCTCATTGGACACCAGCACATGAATTCCCTGTGGTCCCTGAAGTAGAACGGAATGTAGTCGATCATTGGGTAAATTGACAGTGGCAAGTAATTTACTGGCCAGTGCACCACTGGTGAGACTCTCAAGATAAACAACACGCCACAGACAGCTGCCACCTCCCTCAACATCAAAATAAAGTGTCAACTTGGGTGTTGGTGGTTTTGAATGTAGTGCATTAAACAATCTGATTCCATCAGCGAGTCCACAGATCTGAATGAGATCGTCCCTGGAGAGTCTGAGGATATCAGCCGCTGAGAAGCTTGAGAATGTGGTTTCGAATGCCTGAAAACGACTTGAGCGCAGCCAGGCACAGGTCTGAAAGGCATTAGCATCAGGTGCTAATTCCCCTGGTGCATTTGTTGTGTTCTTATCACTGCAGGTCCCCTGATCTGGTGCAATAGCTGGTGATGAGGGCAATCCAGTGACCGACTTTGAGGAGCCATTTGTGTCCTCCTTGACTGAATCCAAACCAGAGAGTACAGGTGGTACCACTGTCACGAACGCTGGCACCATCGCCATAGATGATGAGGCTGTGCCCACGTCATTCTGATTCTGCGGTGAACTGAAAAAAAATTTAACAATTCCAAAAATGGATAAATAAAATTACAACTCCGTTTACCATTTTTCCTTGAATTTTATTTGAGAAAAAAAAATAAATAACAATGGGAAAAAGAGAGAAAATGTATGCCCAATAATTTTTAGAAAAAAATTTTAATGTATTGAATGTTTTTCTATCAAATATTTCTGATAGAGTAATTATTTTGATAATTTTTTAACAAAGGTTTAATGAATTCTTACTGGTAGCTCTCCCCGAGTTTAAAAATCTTGCGAACAATATTTTTATCGCAATATCTGGGTGTTCCAAGTCGTTTAACAGGCCAACGTCTTCTGGTTCCAACCAGATTAACCAGATACTTGCGACCAGATTCACCCAGTCTTACAATTGTCTGCTCGTACCTCGATGTATACAAAACACGTGCTACAAGTTGAATACCAACCGAGCCAAATTGTCGAACGCTGATCTCGTAAACGAGTAGCATCGGATGTTTGCGATAATCACCGAGCATATTGGTATCAATAAATAAATTCTCCTCAAAAATTCAACGATCAACGAACAAATGAAACAAATATTGTCCATGCGATATTAATCAGCGAATCAACGATAAAAGAAAGCCCAATAACTTAAACATCGGCACACCGATGATCAGGCTGCTCGTCATCTGAGGTAACGAGCCTGATCCGGATGTAATTCTTCCTGACGACCAGACATTCTAACGACGAAATTCTCTTTACCCTTGACCTCAATAACCACAGGCTTTTCCATCGAATTGTTCATAAATTCAACTGAACACCCAGAGAAAAATGGCTTCTGCTTCAGCTCCACAAGGTGAACGACCGTTGCTATGATACAGATCATTCCCGCTGACTGCTAATTAAAAAATCCCAACGATCTTCTCTAAAATAAACTCCACTAACTCATACGCTGTCCATACGGTACGAATATCCAAGCGGAAAACAACAATTCATACGGTTTCTTAATAATAAAAAATCACGGAAGTGAAATCACTAAAATTGCGACACTAACGGTAAATCATGTCGGCGGGTTTTTCGATCACTATTTCAATCGCTGGATCGATCAGAGAACCGTGAGTACCATGAGACCCCGTGAAGATAAAAATAAATATTTAAAAAAACTGCAACTCTGAATGTAAAATTGAATGGCAAAACTGGTGTTGCAGAGCGCGTTTTCCTCCGAGTCACAACCAAGTACTGACTTTCAATCTCTCTCTTTCTTCTGGTCTTTTAATTCACTGACGGAACACAATAACCGAAATACAGGCGACAGCCGGTTCCCTCCAGACAAAGATATTGAAATATTAATCACATAAGACAATAAGTTAAACTGAAATAATCCGGTATGAATGTGCCAAAGTATTGTAGCTACTTTATTTCCCAGAATACATTATAAGGTGAGGTGAATTTGCCGGAGCTATTCCCACCCGATACGTTTGCGCACTGTTGTCGAATACGTTGGTTTGAACTACTGGCTTGCACCAGTTATAGCCGGTTCATGCAGTTGATCTCAAACACTTTAATACGCGGATTGCAGGCCTTGGACGAATCACAACTCGTACGATCCGAGCACAATTGATCAACTACCTAGCACTACCTAGTGTCGTTTAATGCCTGTTAGATCCCACCAGACGCTTTGACCAGACCCTCACCACTCAATCCTCTCACTCTTCCTTTCATTTTATCTTGATCCCCACCAGGGCGAACCCACACTAACGTCGAGCTGTTTAATCGCGGTTTCAACCGGTTATATTCTGCCCATCCGAAAGAGAGATACCAACGAGAAGCGTGGGTTTATCTTTTTTCCTCGGCGTTTCACCACGCCAATTCCCACAGCAATCGGTTCATTTTTAAAACCGAGAATTTATTCAATTAGGGTAGTTCACTCGCTAAATCGGCTTTTCCCAAATGGAAAATTAAATGGATCGATAAAAAATTCCACCAATGCATTATTATTGTTTTTAATACCTAATGACAGGTTTTGTTCGGGTGAGGATCTGCGGAATTTCATCGCTTTAAAATGAGTTTTAAATTTATTTTTTCATTTCTATTTGATTTTTTTAGTCTCAATGAAAAATCGGTTAATTGCACTTTCCGCAGTGAATTGAGAAATCGATTTTACGGCATACCTGCACGAAAAGTACAATTTTTCTCGCCAAATCGGATTTCTGTTATCTTTATTTTCAGACGTAAAAACGAATTCCATAGAAAATTCCCACAGTCGTAAATATTTCGTTAAATTCCCAAACATCTGAATTGGAGCTAGTAAATTAGCGCCAAAGCATTAGCGAGTTGTTAGCGTGATCAAATCAATTAAGATGTTCCAAATAAACTCACATGGCATCTGCAACAGCGTACGTACTGCCCTCGTTCTGAGACTCAACATTTGCGGGTGTCAACAACTCCAGTGGTATCTGAAACATCCCCGAGAGTCAAAACACTTGATCCCCATTATTTCCCGAGTAAGATTTCACTCACATCGGACAGAACAGTGCAGTCATAGCTCGGTTGATAATTGTCCTGCTCGTGTGCAGGTCGTCGCAGGATCTTGTCTCTGTCCTGTTTGTGTTTTCTGTCTGCCCCTTTGAGTTTGAATACCTTGATCTGGCAAGAAGCTGCGTGGAGACGAGGACCTTCAGGGAGTTTCGTCTCCACCTGAATTCTGAATGGCACTCCCTTCTCACCACCGTGTTTTTTCGGTGTGAATTCCGTGCTGATGCAATTAACCTGACGACAGATT